CGCAGATTTACCCGTATGATTCTGCGTGAGTTTGATAGAGATCCGACCACAAGAGTTTCTGGTGCCTTGGCAGTTTCAGCAAGCCATGTTCACCGTGTTCTTAGAAATGACCATAGACGTCCTTATCATTTGCAACCTGTGCAAGGACTGCAGCCAGGGGACGGAGAACGAAGAATCACATTTTGTCAGTGGATTCTTGATAGTACTGATAATAATAGGGGGTTTTTAAGTAACGTTTTATGGACCGATGAGTCATGCTTCGCTAGACGTGGAGTGGTAAATTTTCATAATCAACATATTTGGTTGCATGAAAATCTGCATGCAGTTCGGAAAAGAAATTTTCAGCATGAATTTGGTGTGAACGTGTGGATTGGTATCTACCGTAATCGACTATTTGGACCCTACCTTTTGCCTGCAAGGTTAAATGCTGCGACCTTCTTGGAATTTTTAAAGGCTGAACATGCAAGTATGTGGCATGATGTTATGATAGATTTAAGAAGATTGGCCTGGTTCCAGCTTGATGGTTGTCCAGCTCATTATTCGAGAATAGTTAGAAACTGGCTGGACGAAAATTATCCAGAAAGATTGATCGGCCGTGGAGGACCAGTCGCCTGGCCTCCACGATCCCATGACCTAAATCCATTAGATTTCTTTGTGTGGGGATTTCTTAAAGAAAAAGTGTACCAGACTCCCGTAACCACAAGAGATATGCTAATAGACAGAATCAGGAATGCATGTGATGAAATAAGGCCTTATTTGAATCGATCATTCGTAGATGTGAATTGTGTATTGAACAATTGGGTTTACATTTAGAGCAACTACTTTAAATTTGGTATGTTTGTCCTAACTATCCAATAGCATTTTAGTCGTAAATAATTAATTTAATTTGGTAAAAATAATATTGGAAAATTAAACAAATTAATATTCTGTTTTTTTGTGTTTATTTGGAGTTAGGAATTATTCCTGTGTTTAAAAACACAATCTAAACGATCATCTTAATTACTTGTAATGCCCAAATCGAAAATGTAAAAAAAATATTATTTTCCCATAAATAATTAAAAATGCATCGAACCTTAAAAATCGAAATATCTCAGAAACGGTTAACTGTAACGAAAATCCAGGACACAGCTTTTTTATGTTGAAAAGTGCGAAGAATCAGTTTTTTTATTCAAAAAGCAAAAAATTGCACTAAGAAAAATTTTTCATTTTAATACACTACAGGTACAGTAGAGAGCGCCCTCTAGCGGTTACAGTAAAACTATGCCCATGGTTCGTTTTGTCGTACCAAAAAACACTTGTATACTAATTTTCACTGTTATTCATCGAATATTGTTCAAAATATTTAAAAAAAAAACTACTTTAGAAAGTAAATTTAAACACCCTGTATTTCGGAAGCCACGCATTTTTCGACCCATGTTTATATAGACTTTATGCATTAATTTTAAAAGTTCTATCGAATCTTAAAGTTATGCAACAATAAACTGAAACACCCTGTATAAGCATTGCAGAAAACGTAATTTGATGTACAATCGATGCCAAGCGAAGCTATTTAAGCCGATAAATGAACTATGTGGGTATAAAGTGCAATGCAATTATAGATGCAAAACCCGACACAGAGTTAAGAGGCTTCTGATCATTTTTGAAAAATCTTTTAGGAATGAGTAATTGGTATACGCTCTTAACCTCGGTATTTCTACGCACCTATTAAGACATATTTCACACAACATATATTTTCCAGCACACTTTCCCTCAAAACAGAATGATATAAAAATGCTTTCGATATTGCATCACTGCTTCTGCCGTCTGGGATCACCGCCAAGCGTACCGCTCTTGATAAGTGTTCTGGCTTCACTGCCGCGCTGAAGCGCCTGACGCATTGTGCCGTGAGGCGTCGGGGGAAGAATGTCTACGGACTCATTGTGTGGGTCTGTTTGACTAACTTTTGATCCGTTCTCTTTTTTCTTCTTAACGCCTTTTTTGTGTTTATATTTCCTTCGAGTGATATAATCATAATTCAGATGAAACATAATCGTCACTGGTCCAGTTTTTGCTCAAAACTAGATGAGAAGTATGTGCTGAATTCATAGCAGATAAAGTGCTGTATCTCTTGTTATTTTTAATTAGTTGTGATAGAAAATGTCGGAAGACGTGTAATTGCTATCATTTGGCTTGTTAGGCACATAACTGGCATTGTTATTAAGCCCTTTATCCATTACTAGTGGTGCTTACTGAGTGCTAGTAAATACAGAATCTATTTTATGACTGACCTTACTGTCATTCATTGCATTTATATATGTCATTATTTTTAGACATGAAAGTCGCAGGCTACTTGATGAATTGAAATTATAAAATGAATAGGAAACAAGTACTCTTCATCGTATAATATATACAGTAACTAGAGAAACAAATGCTTATAGATGACGCTACCATATCTTATTTTATGTTGGATAATCTTTTGTACGTAGGAATATAGTATTAGTTGGCGATCTTCAGGTAGAATACATTAATTAGTGCTGAAAGTCTCTTGCTCTCTCATTCATATTTACTGCCGTCGCATTTTTGTAGCTTTCTGTTGCGAATTCTAATGGAAAAAGTATCATTCGTACAAAGTTTAATGGGATTTTTTTGTTACCGCTTTGAGTGGATATTATCTCCTACTGTAGCAATATTTAAATGACGGAAAGTTTCGAATTTGAAGCTATGGAGTCAGAGGTTTCGAGCATTTTCTTGGCTCTCTGTCGATATGCTAATGAAACCGACATCCTTAAACTCGGAAACTGCTGATCTACTACAAACTTTATATTTTAGAAAGTTGAGTGACGCTAGATGCAAAAATGGACTAACCAAATGTACATGGTGTCCCGAAAGTTGAGACTTTCCTTTTGAGAGTTAACTCTCCTCTAACAGACAGTCTCGGGACCCTTTCGCACCGGCGGGCCGTCGGCGATCTAGCTCTTTTCTACCGCGACACCAACGGGCTTTGCTCCTCGGAGCTCTCTTCCATGATTGCATCGCGCGATGTGCCTGCCAGATAGACCCACCTGACTTTGGCGTCCCATCCTAACCATGTCGAACTTCGTACATCTAGATCTGGCTAATACGACCTTTGTCCCGAGGTTGTCGAGATTGTGGAACAATCTACAAGAGGAAGCTTTTCCAAGTTCTACTAACCTTAGGCAGTTCAAAAATCGTATTAACAAAATTTCTTTGGGATCATCATAGCAGCCGCGGTGTCCCGGCATTCAGGCTTCTGCCTGCGCGGCTGCTTCGGTCTGCAATACCAAAGCTAATTTGCAGCAAGACAACACCGAAAACGTAAAAGAGAAATTGAAGAAAAATACTCGCTTTTGATTTGGTAAGGAACTTCAAGTAATGCCCTGTCACATGTTTTATTTGTCATACTACTTGATGTTTTTGCTGTTCTAAACAAATATATGCAGCTCTGATGGAAAAAACATCGTGGACGACGGCGCTGTGCTGAGTACACTCGCGGAGTATCAATAGAATCTTGAAGGTACTCATATCGAGTCGATAACTGCGTTATTGCTCTATGAATGTGCCAATTTCTCTTTTTCAAATGCGGTTTGTTCATAAACTAGGTTAACCTAGACACCACGCGTCTCATAGTTTTAATACTGAGGGGATTGTAAGAGAGGAGGTGGCAGTGTCGTACTGATTGATTTATTGGTTTTTAGAACGTAATATCTCGGTGGTTATCTTAAAGCTTTGGTATATATGTTGCTAAAAACATGCCTAACCTTTACGCATTGTAAAGTTTGAGAACACCCCGTAAATTCACGTTTCTCCAAACGGGAGACTATACCATTCTTTATTCAAAATTTTCACTGTTTACGTTTTCTTAGAAATCTGCGTCATATGTTGTGAATGCCTGTAGACTACTGAAGGCTACAACAATTCGTTAAACTTCCATTGTAAACATATTTTTCTCTTTCTGTTGAGAATGAAGGGAAATATAACAAAATGATACTGCCGGTGCCCCCTACTGGGCCGTGCCTAGACTACGAATTTGTTCAAACTCGAACCGTACCGTGCCAAGACAACGAAGCTGCGCATGCGCAAGAGACGCCGTGATCAGGGTTGAATTTAGATTCAATTCAATTCAGTTAAAAAGGCTTAAATCAGCCGACCATTACAATGGTAATCAAACATTCACAAAACAATATAGACAATATACACGTATTCAGCTAAGAACGAGTGTAAATATAAATTTGAGTCAATATAATCATGTTATTTATGTCGAGTCCTGAAATTTTAGAAACGAGTAGGTACATTTACAAATAAAAAGCATTCAAAAAGTAAGATGTTTGTGTCCTGAAGTCTGGTAGTATTAATGACGGGAGCTAAAGCATGCATGAGGATGATTAAAAATACATCTAATTGTACAGAGGAAATGTAGATATGTTTTGCAAACACTAGTTAAGCGAGTAGCAAAAATAATATTTACAGAAAAAGCTCTTCGAGGGAGTAGTATTCTTTTTGATTAAGAATAAATTAAATTCCATTCAAACATGGTAAAGTTTTCGCATTTCTTATTTCTGCTGGTAAATGATTGAACACTTTCACACCCAGTAATTGAGGCTCAATACTAGTTATTTGCACTTTGTAAAACCAATATGGAATACTTTCTATTGTCTCATTATAGGTATTTACAAGCTTTTGGCAATTTTTCGTGGATGAAATGAAGGAGGAGTTATTTGCGTATGAAGTTCCGTGGTCTGGCAGAATAATGGTGTTAATAAAATCATTGATGTACAGTATAAACAAAGTAGGCCCCAAGTATGGAGTCTTGGGGCACACCACAGATATACGCCTCTCGAAAATGAAATAGGAAAACTTGACTCCCCCGTAGACTCTGTGTACATATGTTACATTGCAGATACGAGGATTGCCCATAAAATAAGTTTCACTGAGGTGTTACATAAAGAAAAACAAATTTATTTGCCTCATAATGTATATTTTTGAAAAGTTCAGACTTTTTTTCAGTTTTCTACATAGTCACCATTTCGTTCGATGTATTTTTGCTGTCGGTATAACCACTTCTTGAAACCGGAGTCGAAGAACTCCACCGCCTGGCCGCGTAGAAAGTCTAAAACTGCTTCTTGCACCTCTTGATCGTCCTGGAATTGGGTTCCACCTAAGTGTTCCTTCAACTTGGGGAAGAGATGGAAGTCACTGGCAGCAACGTCCGGGTTGTAGGGTGGTTGTGTCACAGTTTCCCATCGAAATTCTTCGATGAGAGTGGTGGTTTGTCGGGAGGTATGCGGTCGAGCATTATCATGGTGCAAACGCACCCCTTTGGTTAGCATCCTTCTCCTTTTGTTTTGAATTGCACGAAGAAGTTTTTTTAAAGTCGCACAGTACCGGTCGGAATTGATTGTTGTACGTCGAGGCATGAAATCGCACAACAATACGCCTTTCCGGTCCCAAGAGATGCTAGCCATAAGTTTTCCGGCAGAAAGCGTTTGTTTAAACTTCAGAGGTTTCTGCGAAGAAAGGTGCTTACACTGCTCCAATTGCTGCTTTGCGGTGTAGTGCACCCAGGTCTCATCACCAGTCTCAACCTAGTTCAGGAATTCTTCTCCGTCAGTTTCTAAGCAATTGAGAAATTCTTGTGCCGCTACAACCCGCTGCCGTTTATGATCTTCAGTAGAGCATTTTTGGGACCCATCTTGCGTACACCTTTGAATACCCTAAATGTTCATGGAAAATCTTGTGGTTGGTGGATTTACAGGCACCCGGGATCAAATCGCTCAGCTCTCCAACAGTAACCCATCGATCTTTAAGCATTACCGCTTCGACTTTGGCAATGGTTTCGTCCGAAACCGATGGGCGTCCAGCACGCGCTTCATCGTGGATGTATGCACGTCCATTTTTAAATTCTCTGACTCATCTGCGTACCATCCCGGAGCTCATACAATTTTCTCGATACACTTGACAGAGTTCATTGTGGATGTCCTTCGCCAAATTCTTCTTAGCGAGCAGAAACCGAATTACAGACCGTATTTCGAAGCTGGCGGGAGACGCAAGCGACAACTCCGTCGCGCGCAACTGCTTAGCCAAGACTGTGCGTCGCCTGTGTTGCCAGACGATTATCTTTTCTCACTAGATACTTTGCCAAAATTTCCCTAGATTTCCGTAACAGCTTAAAAAACCATGTTTATTTTAGAATTCCTTTTATATATTTAATATTCATCTTAATATTGTTTGTAATTTGAGGTAGGAGTATTGATTAAAAGATGCAAACATTTTATTACGTATAATTATTACTATTATTAAATATTAACGTAACAGGTATTTCTTAAAATATATAATATAAACTAAAAGACATGGTAACTTAAGTATGCATATTATAAAAAAACATAAAAAAAATATTCTGTATAAATAGCGAACGAACAAATATAGTATAACATAAAATATTTAGTTTTTAAGAAAACAATAAAGCAAAATAATCAAAAGTAGGTATTATAATTTAGTTTTGAGTTTTATTGTACATTGACGAATCCATTCTTCTAAACAAATCATTAGGAATGCTAAAGTTGTAGCAACTGTCATTTTTCAATAAAACCTTAGTATGTAAAATTCCACTTAACTTTTCAGTCGATAATTTATTTCTTATTTTAGTTTTGTTTAGATTTATTTGGGAAAATATCCTTTCGACATTTGCACTTGAATGTGGCAAACTAAACAGATTAAACACAAAATTAGTTAAGGTTGGAAATATAAGAGAATCATCACCAGATTTTAATGCTTAAATTTGTATATTCACTTGATACAAGATTTCTTAGGCAACGCCATTCTTTGTCTATTTCATTTACGTTATCAGTTGTCAAGTTGGGAAAATGGAAAACTAAAGGTCCTAATGATGCTTGTTTTTTGCAATTACTTCATCTAGAGATATAAGTGACATATGTTTAAGGGTAGCGACAGTTTTGCTTCTATTATCAAATCTCTTATAAATTTCAAAACAGCTTTCTATTAAAAAATCTAAACCTCTTTCTGAAGTCAAATAATTTTGCATCATTTAGTTTATGTTCATTATTGCTTATAGCACCTGTTACGTAGACACCTAAGTAAATGTTTTCTATTTCCACAAAATTGTGAAGATTTTTCTATATTTAATTCCATAAAAAGGGCAGCAAAAATATAATTTTAAAGCATCATATTGCTCAAGTATTCTTTTTACAACAGGCAATACAGACAACCACCTTGTTTGTCAGAGTAGTAAATTTTATGAGGTTTTACTGCTACAAACTCCTGAAATTCTGCAAATTTAGTGAGTATTTTAAAACTGTATTGTAGATACGTATGAACATCTCTAGCCATTTGTTCAATATCATCTGGTAATATTGCACAACCAAAATTAACACATACACTAAATGAATGACCGACGCATTTCATAATGAATAAATTAGGAATATCGGATTTTAGTTTGGTGGATAATGAATTATGAATTCCCATCATAGCACTTGCACCTTCTGATTAATAATTTACAATAGTGTTGTAAAGTCCTTCTGCCGTTGCATCGGCTACAAGAAATAGATCAAAGAACAAGTCAGTAATTTTATGTTCATAAAAAATACGTGACACTAAAGCTAAATGTTTAATTGCGCCTTTATCGGTAGATTCATCAGCAATTGATGAACATTCATTTGCTTGTAATAAATTATTAGAATTTCCAAAACTGTACTGCCCTAAAACATTATTGACAATAGCTTTAGCTTTGGTGCGAGAACATGTGAAATTTTTAGCAATCTCTGAATCGTCAAATGATATTCTAATAGTTTCTGATAAATGGTCTAAAGTATTAAATGAAATGTTATGTTCAGCTGCATATGCTACAATTCGAATTTCAGAAGTTTTGATTTTGTTATTTAAAGATATTTTTTCCATATAAAAAAAATGTCATATCAGTCAAAGTTTTTTGTGCGTGTAATAATTTTACATATTTGGTGTGTTGTTTTCCTGAAGAATGTTTCTGGATTTCAGATTTGCCACATATAAAATCTTTATTACATGCCTTGCAGAATGCTTAATTGGACCCTTTCATGCTGCTCCTCAACCAACCTTCAAATTCATATAATATATATAATTCATATCCATCTCGTCAACTTATCTATCAAAAAAATACCTGCTCCTGCTATATACGTAAAGTGTGAGAAAAATCGTACCCAATCTTCTGGAGAAGTAACCATACAAGAGATAACACCAGTAAGTACTTACAGAAACGTTAGCAGCTCTTCCGAGGACGAACCAAGCATTTTCGGTCATTTTTCTTTAACCTCTCCCGAAATTGTGTCATAAAAGTCACATTTTTGTCAAGATATATCAACTTTCAACCTAGCCTATACATAGGGTGTTTATCCGATATGACTAGACGAAAAAAGAAGGATAAAGAAGAGCAACAAGAAGATAAGGATGAAAGTTATTTATCCAAGAATAATGCAAATACTACTATAGAGCAAGAAGTACAGTACCTGAAGAAGCTATTAGAAACAAAGAATGAAATAATTTTAGATAAAGAGAGGTATATCAATCAATTAGTTAATGAGAACAGACGTTTACAGGAGCATTATGAAATGATCATTAGCAGTATAGTGGATAAAGAAACCATAATCACTTCTTTGGGGAAAATAAACGAAAGAGTTGAAAAAATAGAAGCTACTACCTCATACACCCGTTGTAATGATGTAATTAAATCATATAGTGGAGCTGTAAAAGAGTCAAAAAAAGCAGAGATGAGAAGATTGTAGATAAAATTAATAATACACAAAAGTTGATGATAAAAAGTACGGACAAATCAAACTCTAATGTGTTGGAAGATTTGAAGAAGAGCATTGATCAAGCTAAGTCAAATATCTGTGTGAACTCTGTGAGGAGGGTGAATAATGGCATCATTCTTAGCTGCGAAAATGAAGCATCAATGTCCAAGCTGATGGCGAGTATACAGGGAGAACTCGATGCGAACTTCACTGTCAATGAGATCAACAAATATCGCCCACGCATGGTGATAAATAATGTAGAATGCGCCTACACAAAATCTGAGGGATTAATCGAGAACATCTTGTCCCAGAATGAATTTGGTATTTTCAGTAGTGATGATATAAAAACTGTAACCACTTTCAGATGTTCCGAATCTACTTTAAATGTTGTCATTGAGGTTAGCCCAAAAGTTAGAAAAACGTTGCTAGATAGAGGTCATATATACATGGGTTGGCAAAGATGTCCTGTGCGGGATTATGTACGAATTATACGCTGCTCTAAATGTTCAGGTTTTGGCCACATGGAAAAAAATTGCATACATTCTAAAGTATCATGTCCTTTATGTGCTGGAGATCATTTGGAAAAAAAATTGTAAATCTGCTTTTAAGAATTGTTCAAACTGCATGAAGCACAATTCTAAATTCAACACTCAATTTGATACTAGTCATTCTTCTAAAGACTTGGATTGTCCAACTTATAAAAAATATGTTACATACTTGAAATCTAGAATTGAATATGAATAGTGATAAATTCAAGGTTTTAAAATTTGGTCATATAAACTGCAGATCAGTTTTATCAGGATTTTATGAATTTAGTACACTGGTTCAAAACAATAACCTTGATATTGTTGGAATATCGGAAACGTGGCTATCAAAAGATATATCTAATGACCATATAAGAATGAATGGATACAATTGCTATCGCTGTGATAGAGATGGGCGAGGAGGTGGGGTTGCAGTCTTTGTAAACAACCACTACAACTCTTCCATAATTTCATTTGGGCAAGACCCAAGTCTTGAATATATATGGTTGAAGGTGCAGCTTCCAAAACAAAAAATTGCTATTGGTATATTCTATCGGCCCCCACATAGCTCTGTTACAGAAGCCGGTAATACCTTTGATAACATGTTGCCTGCCACATTAGCTGAATATGATGATATCATCCTTGCAGGGGATATCAATGTTAATTTGCTTTTAGTTTGTAACAACTTGACTAAATGCCTTGATTCTTATAATCTGAAACAGGTGATATCTGAACCGACTAGAATAACTGAATCGACACTCACTCTCTTAGATCCTATTTATTTGAGCAAGCCTGAAAGTTGTCTTAGGAGTGGCACTATTAATGCTGATATGATTACTGATCACTATTTAACCTTCTGTGATATACGTATTGCACTTCCTAAAAATCCACAGAAATTTGTTACATTCAGGGATTTCCATAGTTTAAATGAAATAGCGTTTGAACAAGATCTCAAGAGTTTTCCATGGTGGCATATTATAACGATAGATGACATTGAAGATAAAATTAACTTTTTAACAGATA